CCCCCCACAAACAGCATACCCCCACACTCCATATCCACACACCCCCACATGCTCCCTCACCCCACATACCCAACCACCCACAGGCCCCCACAAACCTATACCCAACCCCTCGTAATATATATGAGTAAGACTTCATTTTAAGCTATTATATACAATCACCTCTATGTACACTGCACAAACACAGGTAAATCAGGACAAAAATATTTTCTGAAATCAAATTAATGAATGTTGTAGATGTTCACTTTTTAGAATATAATTTGGTATTTTTTTTTGGCTCCAAGATGGCAAAACCCCTTGCTGAAAGGAGTACTTCCAGGGGCAAAGGGAGGGACTTCTGGTGGCAAAGGTCAGGGATTAGGGGGCAGGACTTCCGGTCACAAGATGATGACTGGGGGTGGGGCTACACATGCAGCCCTCAACAGCTTGTCAAAACTCAGTAACCGGCCCTGTGCCCGAAATAATTGCCTGCCCCTCTAAAAGCATATATGTTGTCAAAGTCAACTAGTCACAGGCCAGTGACATTTTGTCACTGCTACGGATACCAATGAGTCGATAATATGGATTTAGGCTTGTTTGGACTTTTCCAGTTACTAATGTTTAAAAACTGATATACTGCTGACACCCAGGCTATTTTTTTATTTTATACTGTGCACATTCCTATTACCTTGGTCATGCTTTAAAGTTCAGATCAGCAATATTAAGCAGTTATTACACAACAGAACACAGGCTCCCTTAGGGAAATATCTTTAGGCAAGCAGGAGGCTTTTTCCTTAGTGTCGCATTGCATCATATACTTGGTGTTTATGATAATGGTCCATGTATCTATTTGACAGTTTGAGCTCATTGTATGACTATTACTAAACTAATGTCAGTCTATGTGTGGCTTTGCTTTTGGTGACTTTTCATATAAAAGACATATGGGATCAAAATCTGTTCTTGGAAATACTGGCTTCAGTAGAGTTACTTCACATTTAAAGGTGTATACCCAACAGCAGAATTTGTTCCAAAAACAACAGACACCTTATCTAACATCATTACCCAGATTAATGGCACTGAAATTAGGGACTGTGTATATATTTCCAAGTGGTCTAATACCTCGGTAGGCATTTCTGATCAATGAGTAGGTAGAAAGAAATAATACTTAGAATCCCCTTGACTTGATTAAGCTTTGCATTGGGCCTGGTGTGACCCTGGTTGAAGAAAGCTGCTTATTCAGGGAAGCAGGTAAGTATGTTAATGGTACTCAAACACATGCTTATAATGTATAGTGGGACCATACCCATGATTGGGCAGTATGTATTGAGGGCTATAGGTTGTACAGATGGGACAGAGTAGGGAGAAAAGGTGCGGGAGGGGTTGCTGTCTCTGTTAAGGAGCATTATACATCTACCCTAATCAAACTGGGATCAGAGGAGGAGAAAGTAGAGGCACGGTGAGTTAGGATACATGGAGGTAGAGGGGAAAGGGACTTGGTGGTGGGGGTCTGCTACAGACCACCACATCAAGAGGAAGAGCTAGACTTGGAATTCTCGAGGCAGCTCTCAGAGGCCGTACGGTCTAGGGACATGGTTGTCATGGGGGACCTAAACTACCTTGACATCTGCTGGGAGAAGCACTCAGCCAAATCCAACCGTTCACGTAGGTTCTTAACCTGCATGCAGGACCTTCACCTAGAGCAGGAGGTATATGGTCCCACTAGGGGGAATGCCTTGCTGGACTTGGTGTTGGCTATGGGGGATGACCTGGTAGGGGAGATGCAGATTTGTGGTCACCTTGGGACAGTGAACACCAATTGAATTCACCATATGGTGTAGAGTGGGTAAGATAATTAGTAAGGTGGAAGTGTCTGACTTTAGAAAGGCTAACTTCAGTGTGCTCACAAGCTTAGTCAATGACACACTGCAGAATAGGAGTATTGGCGAGATGAGAGTCCAGAAAGGGTGGTCGTTCCTAAAGGAAGTGATCCTTCGGGCACAGAGGGAGACGAAAGGGAAAGGGGGGAAAGTGTCCAAAAAACTTCCTTGGCTAAACAGAGAAATCCAGGGGAG